CATTGACATAATATATTTTAATTTAATTAAAATAAATTTTATCAGAAATATTTTTTAAATGTAATTAATTTTTTGTAAATGTAAGTACTTTTTTATTATATTTATTTAATTTTATAGATCTAAATATTTTTTTGTTCAAAATGTTTAGGGACTTAATCGTTCAAAATATGAATGTTCATTGGGGTTTTTTTTGGACTTTTTCCGTTATTTTATCACATTAACCATTATAAGTCATAAGAATGTATCTAACAGGTTTTAGAAAGTCCAAGAAGTTATTTAACATGTTTTGGAATGTTCAAGGATTTATTTGTTCCAAAAAATTGTCCAAGAACTTAATCATTCCAAACACTAATGTCCATTGAGTTTTTTTAGACTTTTCCCTATAATTTACTTGTAATCTTGAATTTTAAGTAATATACATCAAAAAACAATACTTCATGCATAAAAAATGATTTTTAAAAGTTTTTGTCAAATGTTTTATAATATAGTATAGATAATATAAAAGGACAAATTTAGGGGGAAACCGTAAAAAATAGAAAAATGAGGAACATTTTGATAATCATTCATGTAGACGGTATGTACGTGTTCATAACATGTACACATGCATAAAAACCAAAAAATAGCTTCAATTACTTGTATGCACATATACATATCGTTCAGATAGAAGAAAAAAAAACTTTTTCTGCGTAAAGTTTTTATTTGTAAACTTTGAGTATTTCAGGAAAGAGTTTTGCAAAGTGGTTAAAAAGTGAAAGTCATTTTACAAAATGGCTACTTATATAAATTTCCCAATATTTTGCACTTATCTAAATTTGAATTACAATTTCTTTTGAACAGATTTAATGAGTAAAATTAAATAAAAATAAGCTTCGGGTCGAGTTGATTGAGTCATTAAAAACGTATTTAAATGCTTACAAACTCTTAACTGATTTGTTTATAAGAAAATTACGTCATTATTTTAATAGTATATGTTTTACAAGTATATTCAAAACATTACATATTTACGGAATTAAAAAGGTTTTGGAAGAAAGAAAATCCAACCCAGAAGAAGAACGACATAATGAAGCACAACTTCTTGTCAATGTTTATCTGAACACTTAAAATTACACAATAAATTGCGGTCTAGCAATATCCTAGAACCACACCAAAACAAACGAGCAGAGATGGACAAACTGATTAACCGACCCCAGTTTTTAGATAATAAAAAAAACGGATTATTAGTAACTGACCTAGTGGACCTTCTTATCCAGTTCCTTTTTTCAACAATTTCTTTTGTATATAAATGTTTTTAAACATCGGGTGGGTTTGTTAAAAAAATCATTTTGTGTGTTGGTGATATGGTTACGTTCACAGGAGACAATTAACGGTTCTGTATAGAGAGTGAGTGTGAAGGTCGAGGAGGCAAGGAGAAGGGGTAGGCCAAGGAAGACATGGGATGAGTAACTAACGTTAGAATTGACAACTTTAAGCATTTCTGATGACATGATCTTTGATAAAAAAATATATATTATTGAAGACGCAGGATTCTGGTAGCAAAGTATCTGTGTGGAGCTATCGTTAGCATGGACGAGAGTTATACAGGTATAGAGTCGAAGGTAAGATTTTTAAACCGATACTTAGGTTACTGAAGTATTTTGTTAGACTATGGTTGAAGTTAGGGTTATGTTTTCATATACTTACTTCTGCTTGTATTTTTATTTTTATTTTTATTTTACTTTTCTCGAGTCTCCAATTTTCTTGTTTCGTGTTATTATTTTCGTGTTATCTCGATTGTACCCTTGGATTCTGAATCCGTCACAAGATAAAGATAAGAATGTAGTAAATTGTATGTAGCACTCTAAACGTCACATGTTAGAGCGAAATAACATACCAAATCTAAAAATAATTCTTGCATTTTCGTTTGTGTGATTTTCCATAATCTAAATGGATCATGTTTAGGGATAGAACGACTTACGTGTCGGTATCTTGCTTGGAACGATGTGTGGATTCACTTCGTGATTTACGGGTTATCAAGTGACCGAATGGGAAAGTCCGAGTTGCTTTTGTTGGACTGATTTGCGTTTTGTGTTGAATCCATGTTTTTCAACTTTACGCAAGATTTTTTTCACATGGCGTTTTAAAATGGAAATTCCGTGCAGCGTGCCACTATTTTTACGTTGCACCTTTGTTCTTCCATTATGCAAAATTGTCAATTGTCAAACTGGAGTATTTTTATTATGATCTGTAATTATTCCGGTAATATATTCGAGAACCGAAAACTCGGATAAGCCTGGTTATATTATGTGAGACCATCTTTTAATCGGAACTAGAGTTAGAAATCAGATCACCAAATATATTGAAACCTAAATAAGAAAGTGTAACATAAAGCTTAAAAGATCTAACACGGAGAGATGGGAGGAGGGTGTAAAAATTTATTCACACAAATACTTATGTTTATAATATATATATATATATATATATATATATATATATATATATATATATATGTGTGTGTGTGTGTGCGCGCGCGCGCATGCGCTCGCACGCGTTCGTGTGCGTGTGTGTGTGAAGATCCAACGAGAACACCCTTATTTTACGAAAATGGAAGAACATCTATAAGCCTGCAAATTATTTAACCCATAATTAAAGTTAAAAGAAAATAAAGTAATTTAATTATGGATAATCATGTGATTTTGTATTTATCTGTAATTTTCCAACATTCTTATTTCTAAAATCATATACAAATAATATGCTAACCAGTATTAAATAATAATCATATTTTATCACAGCAAAATCACATAATGAACAAACAGAGCGATGAATGTAGCTGTGATCATCGCGATTTTCAATTACCATAACATTATCAAATCACTATCATAACAAAAATCTCATAATTAATCACATCATAAAAAGTCTTCAATTTGTCAAATTATTATCATGGCAAAATCAAATCATTATCACTGCATTATCAACAACGAACGTATCGACATAAAAAGTCTCCAATGGTAACAACAAAATTTAAGAGATAAGGATAAATCTATAATAACAGAAAATTATGAATAACATTAATTTATTTTATTTATTTTAACTTTTATTATGCATTAACTAATTTGGAGGCCCAAAAACATTATTGTATTTTCATAAAATAAAGATGTTTCCGTTTGATCTATATATATAAAAGGATAAAACAAACCTAAAGACCCAAAAAGAAGTGATAAAAAAAATCTACTACTAACCACAAGAGTGATGTCTGATTGATTTGAGTTTAGCTTAAAATGTCAAAAGTACCTGAGGTCCCAGGTTCAAATCCAAGGAGAAATAAAAATCTCCTTGTTGCCATGGAGGTTCATATACGGTAACTCCGGACTATCTGTAAAATAGGTGTTCGTCCTGGAATTAATCGACTCACATAACGGGTTGGATATCCAGGTTAATAAAAAAAATCCACTACCCCAATGAAAGGCTGCCACATGGCAGCTTGAAAGTTCAAAAAGTGATAGATTCAGTTACTATTACCAGTCATAACATGTTCCCTTAACTAAAGATGAGTTTTTTTAGACTGGAGTCACTGGACCCAAGCCTTCCATACCCATTTTCTGGGCTTGTTTAGACATGGTCAAGCGTTGGAGTTGTAAAAAGATTTAGGGGCTGTTTACTAAACGCTTATCCAGGTAAGTGATTATCAAGTCACATTATCTCACCAGATGAATATGGTAAAGACCCGGTAAGAATGAGACAAGAACCAATAATCTTATCCGATAAGCGAGAGCGACAATTCTTACCACGGTAAATGCTTACCGGGTAAATTGTTGCATACGTTGTCGTTTTGATGGACTAAAATCTTACCTGATGTCGTTTTCCTCTACCTCTAAGAAGTAGAGAGTTGTCTGTTTAGAAGTGTCATGCAACTCACATACAATCAACTCCTCTTTAAGAGAGCGAGACGGTAGGATCTACACAGATCCTTCTCCCGATCTCGCTCTCTTTTCTCACTGGTCTTCCATAAAATGGTAGACCAGACCAATCGCACCAAATGGCATAAGCTTTGCATATCTTAAAAACCTCACGCTGAATCATCGCGCAAGAGTAACAGAGTAGAAGTAGTTAAGAATACTATGGAAATATGAATAAAAACTCAAAACACACAATTAGGCTTTACAACGAAAACAAAAGCTATCACTGTACATAAACCGGCAAGGAAATCGTAAAAGATCTATCTATCTCCATGCCATGTACAAGTAAATCGAAGCAACAAAACAAACTTAGATGTTCAAGCTAAGTAATTGTATATCTGAGGATTGCTCTTGTCTCTCTCTAGGTATTCCCGATCAATCAGGCTTTCGATCCTCTTCTTCAAGTCAACTGGTTTTATCGGAAACTTGAGCTGTTTCAAAAAAAACCGGAGGTTCAATTGTTTAAACGTCAATTTACCTTGTAGATATACCGTCGTTTAAGTTTAATTCTTATATTTCAAAAGTACAACATATATGAAGTATTGAACATAAATCACTAATGTACCAAGAGTTTACGAATGGAAGGTGGATAGGTTTTGAAAACCCCATTTCACCATTAATCCCTTTCCCCCAAAAAATCAACTTCTTGACATATTTAGCCGTTTACGTAGTCTTAGGACCCCACATTAGCTAGAGTTAGACTATTTCACCTCTATATACGTTGAACCCCTCCCCCTTTTTTTCTCTCCTCAATGGCTCTTTTGGCGAGTAATCTAATGGGGTTCTACTTATTCTAACATGGTATCAGAGCCAAGATTTACCACTCTAAAGGGGTTCGGTCTACCACTCCAAAGGGGAGTGTCTAGCACCCTCAATCGTCTTGCCTCCTCTCGACACTTTGGGACAATTGTGCCCATTTAGCCTCTGATGGGAGGGGCGTGTTACAGTCCCATATTGGCTTAGACTTGGACATTTCACCTCTACATACGTTGGAAACCCCCTTTCTCTCCTCAATGGCTCTCTTGGCGAGTAATCCAATGGGGTTCCACTTATTCTAACATGTAGGAAGTATGATTGCACATTATTGTAATTCCTATTTTCTTCAAATATATAAATCTTATATTTTCTTTATATGAAGGAATTGCATTAATTTTCCATTCTTGGTTTACGATAAAATATTACATTTTGCTGCATCGCACAGTTATACAACTAGTTTAAACAAGTTTCACATACTTTGAGGATCATGTGCCATGTAGGTGGGTGGGGTGGGGTGGAGGGTTCACCTTGTTTGTGCACTTCCTACTTGCTATGAGGCCATGTTGGTGTATTGAAACAATACTTGTATTAGAATTGCAGTTTCTGGATGAAGAAAATGAGTTTTACCTGCTGAAAGAGTTCGGTTATCAGAAGTGTGTGACTCAGAACTTTCCTAGTTTTCATAATCCGAACAATAGCAGCATCAACCTGCAATATATTTCGAAAAATGGTGAATCAAGAGACTAGTTATTTGGTCTATTTGCTCAATGCAGCATGTTATAAATATTAAGATAGTTTGAAAGGATTCTCCCTCAGATGGTTGCGAAAGATGATCTCGAACCTGATATTGACGATCTTGGAAAACTCTCTCTGTAGTACTTGCGTTTTCTTCCACCGTTTCCTTCAACTGGATAGCGTTAACCTGTTCCCACACAACTAGCTTCGTTAAATCATGTTTTCTTGTAGATGATGAAATAGGCCAAAATAAACCAAACCAAACAAGCCTGGTGTATCCCACCCAGATGTGGGGTCCGGCCGCGGGGGTGTTAAGATGTATGCAGCCCTCACCACTACCCTCAAAGTGTAGAAAGGTTGTTTCCGTGAATGTCCCCAGCCAGTGTAACACTATATCCCACCCATATGTGGGGCATGGGGAGTAAGATGACTGTTTACGTGAATTCCCCCGGCCAGTATATCCCACCCAAATGTAGGATAAGGGGGATAAGATGTACAGATACCTGACCTCCATCCCAAAGATTAGAGTGGTTGTTTCCATGAATATCCCCAGCTTGTGTATACATAGGTCTAAATGTCAAACTAATGTGTAATTGACAATTATTTAGCAAAACTTTTTGGTTGCTCTCACCTTTATACGATAAAGAGGAGCAGTAAACCCATCATTGAACATGAAGGAATCATTGTCATCCACTTCCCTACCTTTCGGAATCTGGGTAAAACATCAAGATCAGTTGGTTCCTAGAAGGGTAAGAAATGTAAGAAAATAGAATTGATCCGAGTTAACAGCCACCTTTTGGAGGACACGAATTTTTCCACAAGCAAGGGACTGCAGGGTTCTCCGCAACTCCTTGTCCTCGATGCTGGTGGCATCCTTGATATCTTGAAAACTAAGCTTTTGTGCATCGTTGAACAGCATCAGAACGACGGTCTGAATGACATATTGACCGTTTACATGATTGGAATGTGAAGAAAACATCATGGAAAGTATAGCAACCATGCAAGAGCAGAGAACGCAACCAACCTGAAATAAGGAAACTGCCAATTCTTTTTTGCCCTTCGGGAATTCTGCTTTCAAGACACAGTGACCTAATGAATTTTGCCACATCAACCGCCTACCACTATATTTGCTCAAATAGAATTCTTTAAAAATATCCTGCATCATTGTAAAAATTTCAGCTTATTGTAGATCAAAAAAGGTTACACCAGATCAAACCAAACGAGCCCTGTATATCCCACCCAAAGGTGGGTCTGGGGCGGTATAATATACGCAGACCTGACTTCTACCACAAAGAGTAGAGCGGCTGTTTGCTTGTGAAAGGGAAAAAAGTTAGCCCAAAGGGTTGAAGAACATGATAGAATCATCGCGACATACCTGATAAACATTCAGTTCATGGGGAAGGCAGACATCCATTGGTGGATATGTTGGCCAATACCTGCATCCAATTACCCATATTACTTCGGTTGTCAACAGAAATAAGATTTTCGGTCATCTTCACAAAGTAGTTCAGAAATGTAAAGCATACCCAGTTGTTAAGACATGGACACTCATCTCAATTCCTGAAGGGAGTTTCGTTCTAGCTTGAGATGATTGCTTGAAAGATTCATTTATCTCCTTCGATAACTCTATGTCCTAAAAACAATGAAACTAAAAAACTTCAGTACTATGCATTGTATCATTCTTACACTTCCATTCACCTGTTAGGTAGCATCATAAAATAGGTGAATGAGATGGAAGATATCCCTAGTAGGGTTTTTTTCTGGTATAATGCAAAAATTCACTGATGGAAGGAAACCTCAAACACAGAAGTTAGACCCATGGAAATTGAAAATAACTCATAAGGAAGCATTGAAAGATGAAGAGACTATGATTAGTACTCCCTCTATCCCAAAAAACTGCAACATTTGACCAGGCTTACAGTTATCAAATGCCTAAAATGCCCTTTAATAACACCAAAATAAAGAAAACTTGTGAACCAAAATCAAAGTTACTAATTTCAAGTGTCGTTGCTAATAATGGGCAAAAAGGCAAATTATAAATGAAAAGTTACCAAGAAGAATAAACCCAAAATAAAAATTGTTACATTTTTTTGGGTACGGAGGGAATATATGTACTGAGAATTTATGACTCCTAAAAGAAGGCTGTATCATGCACTGCAAGCCAATGCAGTGTATCTAGGCATTCCTATAAAATTAACAGATCGCAAACTCTATGCATCAAATAGACCACCCAGCCTGTCAATGCCTGTCCCGGTACCAAGTCTAGCACCCTCCTATGTGTAGCCATAAAAATTTCTTACTGTCACCCCTTATATGTGGTTTTTAAGTATAAGTCATCCTCTGCATGTTAGTGGATATAAAACAGAACTAGATTCCATATACTTTTTCTCTCACTTCATTCTGAAAACATATTCAGCCAGGCTGTCCTTTTGGGGTTTGGACTGTAATCAAGAACATCATACTGATTAAAATATCAATAGGAAGGCATGATAGAAGATATAGACACACACCTTGAACATTCCTTCAAGCTTGTTGGTGAACTGGCTACCACATTCGGTTTTCAACTATAACAACAATCAGAGTGGTTAATAATCAGAAGATACACTTGCCTAACGCAGCAGGTAAAAGAAGTGTAGACTTTGAACCTTGGAGATCATAGACTTCTCAGCATCAATAGATGCACTCTTTCCCAAAAGAAGCCTTTTTGCAAGATCCTTCTTATAAAAGGCTTCAAACACATCCTTACCCTATATCACAAAAATGATCATAAATGGACGAACTTTTTGGTGCAAACCAGCAAAGAAAATATGAAGCATGAGCAACAGAACGGAAGGGATAACCTCACAAGAAGAGTTACTATCATGCAAGGGTTGTTTCAATAAGTTACTGCAATTTGTCTAGTACCTGTATAAATCTGAACAGAACCAAGACTTTATCAAGAGTGCCCTCCAATTCTTCCTCCGATGTACCCTTATTCCCAGCACGTAGTTTCTCATCCAAAAACTTTGCAATCAACTCAGCAGGACGGTTCTGCAGATAAAACATTGATATGTTAGTTTCAGAATGAAAACATGCACAGTGAGAAGCCAAGGGAACATAAGTGATAAGAGAGTAAAACTACAATGTAGAGTTGAACTTCTGGGCATTTAACTTCCATTCAAATGATTAAGGATGTATATGTAGGCTATCAGATATAGATCTAATACATGATCAAGTCTGGTAGTTTTACTGTGGAAGCTTGATATTATTTTTTAGCCACATTATGTACCAGCTCAAACTTATAATGGCATTAATATCATAGAATGCACGTAAGCAGCAGATCACAAGTTCAAATCTTCTAGTTTCCAGTATCAAGCAAGTGCAGTTTGCACACTGTTTCATGGACAGTGATGCAGATCAATCTCAATTGTGTACGTAAAGGGGGGGCTATCTGGAACCTGAAATAAGTAGGTCATGAGGCCTTAGCACAGTATCTATATCTGATAGAAGATGGTCAAAGAGGCTCAAATTACTCGTTAGGTACTAGGTTTCCACTCTTAGAGCAGATCGGAAAGAAAATCCACATATATCTTTCCCATATTCAGTGGCGGATCTAGAAAATCAGAGTGGGTGGACTTTGTTATGAAGATTTGCCCATGAACATGATGCGAAAAAGCCAACGCAACAACTTGAAGTTACCATCGAATTCATCACTTTTTGTTAAAGACGCAAGGCGCACTTAAGCGCAAAGGGGTCCTGGGGCCTAGGCGCGGGCCTCACGAAAGTAATATATATATATATACACACACAAACATAGTAATACAAAACTCAAATACCATTATATAAAAAGTAGTAATATCAACTCAATTTCCAAAAGGCAGCCAAAAAAATAATAGTATACATACTGATACTTGTGTGTAGAAACAGCCAACACGTAGCAAGTAGCAACAAGAAGTCCAGAAGAGAGCCTTAGTGAGGAAGAAGCATAAGCCTCCAAAGCAGCAACCAGAAATCCATATTCCAGAAGAGAGCCGTGAGGAAGAAGTATAAGGTTTAAAGCCGTGAGGGAGAGTACAATGTATGGGACATATGTATGGGAGGTATTTATAGGAGATGACTGATTAGAATCTTGGTTTTAAAAAGCACGATGCGGTCCGAGGCAGTAAGGGTCCCGGAAGCCGATGCATGATGCATGATGCGGATGCGCTCGCATCACGCACGTGATGTGCACGGTATTCAAAAAATACTTATAAATTAATTCTACATATCAATTTCTACCTTAAAAATACTTACCCATCAAAATACTTCATTTATAACATAAAGTAGTTCAAAAAGTGGCATTAGAATCTTAAAAAGCTCGTGAATTGGAATAACAGAACACACAAACTACTACCAGGAAGAACACAAGTAAATGTCTAATGGTCCCCAATCCCTAAACTAAATGACCAAGTGACCAACTAATACTCCCCAAGATCAACATCATCAAACCCCAACATGGGTTCATCTCTCTCATCATTATCAAACCCTCCAATATTTGCTTCCACCTCAACTTCATCATCTTCATCCTAAAGAGCATGTCCTTTTCCTCTAGCACTTCTAGTTCTTGATGGACCCGACCCATCATCATTTACTCTCCCTCTTGATGCTCTAGTGAAATGAGGAGTCTCATATGCCCCGGAAGCTCTACCTACGTCATCTCACGTAAGATCCTCATCAATAAACACCAAATCATCATATTCATCATCATTGTCCATCCTCCCTATCAACCACTCGTTACTTTCATCTATGTCTTCTAGAATGATAGGATCACTACTTCCCTCTTTTTTATATCGACGTTGCAAGGCACGATTGAGTTTCACATAGACCATGTCTACAAAAAGCCCAACTAAAAAGCCCAACTAAAAACCTCTAAAAAATGAAAAAGGAGCCCAAACATGAAACATATAGGATGCGCTGATGCACGCATCGTGTGATGCATAGGTGATGCGACCGCATCAGAGAGCATCATGGAATCGCTTCGCATCAGCCCCTCTGATGCGTTACCTCTAGCGCATCGAAGCGCATCACGCATCGGAGCGCATTATTCGTGCACTTTTAAACCAAGATTAGAATTGAATAGAGAATTGAATAGACTTATCTAATAACTCTTTTTTGTAGAATTCTAGAGGTTAAAAGACATAATTAATATTAGGTTTCGACTTATTTAATAACAATTTTTTATAGAGGTCTAAGAGAAAAAAAATTATTTGAATTTAGGGCAGATATGTATAAGGTGCGCCTAAGCCCATTTTGCGCCTTAGTGCGCCTCAGTAACTCGACTCACCTTGACATGGAAAAAGCCCAGTCCTTTGTGCCTTATGCGCCTCAGCGCCTCAAGCACGCTTTTCACAAGTACTTCACAAAAATCTCTTTTAAAAGGGAAAAGGTCATGAATTGGATGATAATCATTGTATATCTACTCAAAGTAACCACTTTTACCTGATAACAATATCTAGTTGTCAAGGAAGAGGCATCATTTTAAATGGCAGTGCTAAAATTTCTCCTAAAATGCAAAGATGGCATTTATCAATCTTTTATAGATAGTCCAATGACCACCCTCTCTATATTGTAGATTCATCATTGCCCGTATCCCTTCCTCATGGAACCAGGAAGTAACAAATATGTTCGTATGGCATTCTTAGAGTCTTGCTTTACAATTTGTTACATATATGCACTTCACCGAAATTGATGTCCTCAAAACTTTAGGTCTAACTTTAGGAGGTCACTTGAGCAAGACATGTAATGAAGAATAGGGATGCAGCAATGAGTTCTCCCTACTTCTGCAAGAAAAAAGCACCCCTCCACCACAGCATCTCGCCCCTTCTCTTTTGACATGTGTTTCTATCAAATAATAATTATAAATATATACACTACGATGTAGATAACCATTAGCCAGAGAAATTCTAAAGTAGAAAAACCTTTTATGTTGAGTATGTCAAGAATATATTGTGTACAGATTAAAAGCCGCAGAAACTGCACAAAATGTGGTCGCCGGTTTCCCAAATACGGAGCAAGATTTTGGGTGCTTGCTGTTCAGTTTTTCAGAAACTGCTGATATGATATTTCCCCCAGATTGTACATATACACATACACTGACATGATTTCCTTCTCAATTTTCTACATATATACATACATACCCAGTGAGAGCATAGAGAGAGAACTCCTTGAGTTTACTTGAAGATTCTAGTTGTGAATTGTGAAATGATAACAAATGGTACCTGGCGGAGATTAATGAGATGCTCAAATGCCTCTTTGATTGTGTTGCAAAAGACATCATTCTTTGAAAAGCTATCTTCCCATATTTTATCAAGAGAAACCTTGAATTCTAAGAGAGAGAACACCATATCTTTGTCCTTCTCTTCGTCCATTACAATTCCCTGCCCTGTTTTCCGGATGTATGAGCTAAGGGCCTGTCGTAAGGACTCGAGGGCATTTACTCTAGAGAACAGTGTATACATCCTTCGAAGATCTTGGGTTCGATTACCATCCATCAACATCATGAAACCCTGCAGTCAGTTATAACAACGGTTAATAGCTAACTGAAACTTATCACATTTGAGCATTAAGAAAGGAAGATTAAACTTTTATGAGGGAGTGAAAAGTATTCATGCCTTATCAAGTATTGCAGAAATATGAAGCTCAAGGAGTTGCCTTTCAGCGGTTGCTACCAATGGTTTTCTTGTACTGGCATCGAGATAGAGTAGGCATCTGTCATGTTCTTCATGCAATCTTACCTGCAATGATGACCACCCTCAAATACTAGTAAGCATAAAACACCTAAAGATAAGAATATGAGCTGTATTGGCAAGTCTGTCAGAGTATCATATGGCTCAGGTAATGATTGAATGTCATTGCCAGTTGCACCTTGAGTAGATTTTGGTCTAGCATGGAGATCTTATAAAGGGGAAACAGATGAATCATACGCACCTCCACATGTTTCAAAAAATCTGGAACATCCGAGTATTGCATGTATCTTACTCCTTCAGCAGCATAGAACTCCGATGTACATTCAAGGAACGGCTTCTCAAAACTCTCGGAGTAAATTCCCAAGGCAGTGAACATCTTCAGAAGATGGTTAAGGAGTGTTCTATCAACTGCTTCACCTAATCTGGCAAGTGAAAAATAAGAGAATATTAATCGTAAAGGATACAAGTGTATTCGGATTTACTCTCATTTTCCTGTCATAGTTATACTTTGGAGAAGGTGCAATAAAGATAACTGTCAAGTTGACACAACTTAAATCTCAAAAACAAACTCTATTCATGGGCAGGTTAGTATGATCATCCACTTCCAGGGTAGGAAATAGAGAGGAATTTACCAAATAGCTGTGCTCAGGTATCCTCCAAATATCAAATAGGCATCAACCGCTCTATGATACCGGCAGGAATTAGGGTTGTTGATGTAACTGCATCCAAAATGGCCAGACTAGATATTATTGGTTCTTTTACCTTCATGTGTATGTGTGTGTTTTCTTCTTCCTTTGGAAAGAACGGGTTTCGAAAAATTCTACAAGTAACAAACCCATCTACAAGCTCTCAGACTTAAAAACTAAAAAGCAAGGTTCAGGTCTTACTACCATAGGGAACGCAAAGTCAAAAAAGCACATGCCACAGAAATACTACACAAGATGATAAAGTATCAAATACCAGGTAAAGAAGAAGAGACATGTAGCAACTAACTTTTATACTCTGTAGAATAGCACACTCAACATTTTGTACTTTTAGCTTTCAAGCAAATATACAAATGCCATAAAGCAGTTGTTAAATTTCAAAGACAAGAAAATGCCATAAGCAGTAGCAACATTTTCTGCTCTACCCCAGGAGTCATCATAATTCATAATGCAAGTATCTGTTTGACTATAGTGGCATGAAATCCGAGTTTATGTTTGATATTATCAAACCAAACCAAACAAACCCAGTACCCCAAGCAGAGGTAGGGTCGGGGGGGTAGGATGTACGCAAACATTTCATCTGCCCCAAGGGATAGAAAGGTTGTTTCCATGAAGATCCCAGGCTTGCAATTCAAACAATAAAAGGAAACAAGAGAGCAAGCTACAGGTGAGAAAAATAGCAGAGGAGTGTGTACAAACAAGCAGCAGTGCAGCACACATAAAAGGCAACAAGGACACATGTGAAGTTAATAGGTTAAAACACACAAGGGAACACAAGGCACAGTACTGACAACCACTGTGACAAGAACACTTAAGAGTACAAAGGTCACACAGGTAGATATATTAATAGACGTGAAAAGTGGGAGAAGAAAATCTAGAACATCCCTCTATCTAATGTAAGGCTCAGGTAACCTCCACCTCCCCCCCCCCCCCTCTATATCAAGCATGTTTGATGCTACCAATGACCACATAAAAGTCCATCTGAGAGTTCATAAGGATATGCTTTACAATGGGACATAAAAAAT